GTGCTTTGTGTATGTGTGTGTGTGTGTGTGTCTGTCTGTCTGTCTGTCTGTCTGTCCATCTGTCCGTCCATCTGTCCGTCCATCTGTCCGTCCGTTCGTCTGTCCATCCGCCTCTTTTTCTGTCTGTCTCTTTTGGTTGCATTGCATTATGTTGTGCAAAATTGAAAGGCATATTGCAGTCTATTACTCTTAACACTTATATGTTTTTACATCTGTCTGAAGTTAGCTAGGGATGAGCTTATGCTGCACTGTCTGAAGTTAGCTAGGGATGAGCTTATGCTGCACTGTCTGAAGTTAGCTAGGGATGAGCTTATGCTGCACTGTCTGAAGTTAGCTAGGGATGAGCTTATGCTGCACTGTCTGAAGTTAGCTAGGGATGAGCTTATGCTGCACTGTCTGAAGTTAGCTAGGGATGAGCTTATGCTGCACTGTCTGAAGTTAGCTAGGGATGAGCTTATGCTGCACTGTCTGAAGTTAGCTAGGGATGAGCTTATGCTGCACTGTCTGAAGTTAGCTAGGGATGAGCTTATGCTGCACTGTCTGAAGTTAGCTAGGGATGAGCTTATGCTGCACTGTCTGAAGTTAGCTAGGGATGAGCTTATGCTGCACTGTCTGAAGTTAGCTAGGGATGAGCTTATGCTGCACTGTCTGAAGTTAGCTAGGGATGAGCTTATGCTGCACTGTCTGAAGTTAGCTAGGGATGAGCTTATGCTGCACTGTCTGAAGTTAGCTAGGGATGAGCTTATGCTGCACTGTCTGAAGTTAGCTAGGGATGAGCTTATGCTGCACTGTCTGAAGTTAGCTAGGGATGAGCTTATGCTGCAAAATCATAAGAAACTAGACATACTTAGGGGTTGCAGAAAGAGAAGAGGTGGGAGGTGAACATGATGAGATGGAAAGGAGGAAAGAAGGGTATTTTCTTTTAGTTTTAGTAAAAGTTTTACTGCACTTGCAACACAATAAGGTCATATAATATAAGTGCCGAAGATTAGAGGTGTTACAAGAGAGTAAGATACACAAAAAAGAAGGAGGGGAGATCCGGACAATAGATGTTGGATAGGAAAGAAGGAGCAAACCACACCAGAGCACCCGCCAACCACCCACATATTTTTTTTTACATACTGCAGTAGGACATGTGATCCAAAGACTGACCCTTGAGTATTTACAATTTGAACATTGTGAAAAATACTGAGAAAGAATAAGCAGTAACTTGAATATCCCACCCCCCCCAATACAGTCGACACTTTTTTGGGGAAAACCCAAAGAAGTTTCAACACTGTTATTGTTGCTTCAAGAGTGAGTAGAAATCTTTTGATGAGCCTCTTTTGGTCTAAAACATGTAATGCATGTGTGTGCATGTGTGTGCACGTGTGTGTGTGTGTGTGTGTGTGTGTGTGTGTGTGTGTGTGTGTGTGTGTGTACACATGGTGGAACACCAAACCAATGTGCCAGGATCTGGACAATAAAGATGTATCTTATCTTAATTGATCTTATCTGATCTTATCTTATCTTATCTTATCTTATATTGTTCAAAAGTGTGATTATTGTTTTTACTTTGTGAAGGGGAAGGAAAATGCAGCTTTATGTCATCTTGTTTACTTTGGCAAATTCTTTTTAGTTCACAAAAATGCCACATTACTATTCACAGGTACTATGCAAGAATTTAAGGGGTTTTTCCTGGTTCATTTATTTATAATTTATTTATAGTAAAGTCAAATTAAGAAATAACTGACTTACATTGCAATGTAAGCAAAATTTCTAATACTGATGTTTTAACGCTTTCTCTACTTGAAATCACCATTTTCACGATTTTAAAATACATTTGCGATTTAAATTGCTTATGAAATGTGTAAAGGGGTGCTACCGCATTGGTACACATGATGCTGGGTGACTCAAATTGTTAATTCAAAACATTTTCTAAAAAACAAATGGGCAAAACACACCAAAAGAAGTGCACCTCCTCACCTCAACCCCCCCAACCCCCCCCAACA